CTCCCAATGGCTACTCGCAATCTTCAACCAACCCTTCCCTCTCCAATTCCAAACCCCATCTCCATCTGGCGTATCTATACCTTGAATACTTTTCGGTTGCGGCATCCAGCTTGTGGACGTAGGCGTGGAGGTTACTTCATCGTCGAGAAGCGACGGGGCGTGAGGAGAGGTGGGTGGTATGATTTTGTATGTTATGCGAACATTCTTCGCTTTTTTCCACATGGGAAGCGTGGAATGCGTGACGGACCAGGTGTGTTGGAGCCATTCGAGGGTTGGGGTGGTAAAGGTAGGTGAGGTATGATTGTATTTGAGGGGAGAGCGGATGACTATTTTGGGTGTTTCGTCCATGGCTGCGATGAACTCTGGCCGTAGATGGTTCTGTAATGTGTGAATTGATATAAACTTATAATCGCAGGTTCTGGGAGGTATGGAAGACTAGGTAATGTTGTCGTTTGTGAAGCGCAATGTTGCTAAGACGTGACGATCAGTTGAAACAAAGGGGCAGAAGCATTATGTTTTGACATAAGCTCATTGTACATTCCCTACCTACATACAAATCATTGACTTAATCTGATCATGTCTCCTTTGAGGATATACATCAGATATGTATTATAGCCTCTTTTGGGTGGAGTGAATTTCTCCGATACAACAAGAGTGAATGCGGAAAAGAAAACCAAAGAACTCTTCTTCTTGAGTGAATTTGGGCTTTGCAAAGCTCCTGTGGATCCCATCCGATCTTCATACTGCAAGGCTCTGAGCCTAGCCTTGCCATTGTAAACAAAAAACCACCAAAACGCCCCTCGCCGTCGTAACTCCAATTTCTTACAAAGCTCCCGGGACGGTTTTTTTCGAGATCGCGCATCCTCCCTCTTTCTAAATCTGTAATAAAATTTATACTTTTCCCAAAAGCCCCATATCTGATTTTGCCCACAGACGTGCAACAAAACTTTTGGGAAGTTGAAGGTTGCAAGGCTATCCAGCCAGAATCCTCTGCATACCCCAACTTATTATCAACAACACCAATAAAATCATGGATGATATCGATCTTGAGGATGATAACGCCGCGATGGCAGCCATGATGGGTTTCTCTGGGTTTGGACAAAACCCGCTCACCAAAAAACGCAAATTCAATGCCGCGACCGATGCATTTGTCGAAGGCGCAGAGATGGAGAAGATTGACCGGGGAGGGAAGAAGGGACAGGGGAGCGGTGGGAATCAGATTCCATTGGGGAAGATGAGGGTTTTGGGAGAAAAAGCTGTGGAGTCGAGGAATGAGGAGGAGATTGATTTGGGGGACGATGAGGAAGGAGATCAAGCTGGAGAGGATGAGGGACCGAGATATTTGGATACGAGTGCGCCGCCTCCGATATTCGATGAGGCTGGAGCAGGGGAACCTGTAGTGGGTCAAGTGGAAGCATCGGAGGATCCAGCGATACTGGAGCAGAGACGGAAAGCACAGGAGCAAATCGATGCGATTCTTGCTGCTGCGCCTGCCGGTGAGTCGGCAGATACAAATACAAATACATTGCAAGCAGTGCCGGCACGATTGCATGGGCTTCCGGAAAGACCAGTACATAATAATATGGGATTTACGGGAGGTAGGGGTGGTGGAAGCGGTAGGGGAGCAAGAAATGCAGGAAATGATGCAGGGAGCATGGCCAGTTCAAGACATAGTGGAAGGGGATCATTCAATAAGACATGGTATGAAGGGTATTATGATCGAAGTTTCAATGAGAATCCATGGGCAAAATTGGAACAGGAGAGGGGACTGGAAATCAAGGGCAGCTGGGTCTAGATATAGGGAGAATAGGAGGGTTTCCTTTGGGAAGAAAACAAATGGCCTTGTACTCATGACGACGATTTCTGGGTTGAGGTGAGATTTAGGGGATGTGCGTGGATGCACAGATACAAGCGCAAGTTTTCTGACTGTAGCATGGAGAGGACTGTCGGATACCCATGAAGAGAACGGGTCGGTCCTGCAAACAAAGATACTAGGTATGTGGTGAGAAGGTATCGGGATTTGTATGTTTTGCTAAAGTACAACACCTAAGTTTGTATCCATTTCCAGTCTGAACATCGGGATAATATTTGTGCAAAAGAATCTTCCGATATTTAAAATCAACATTCAATTATAATCTGGGTATTGAAAGGGTATATGCCAAGGGTGCCGTAGCATACGATGAGTTTACTTTTAATCAGCAAACCCCTCAAACTCTTCATCAGCATCATCCTCGATCTTCCTCTTCTTCACCTGCTCAATCAAATCCTGTAACTCCATCTCCTTTTCTTGCTCTTCTTTCCTCTCTTCGTCTGTCAGCCTATCTAGTCTTTCAATCTCCCTCTTCCTCTTCTTCTTTTCCCTCTTCACTTCTTTTATATCTTGCTTCTCGTTCTTCTGACTCCAAGCCTCCCTTTGCTTCCTCCTCGCTATCTGCTCCTCAGTTGGTACGTAAGGCCCGGCAGCTTTCGCTTCATCCATTGCCACTCGCCTTGCCTTCTCTCTAATCTTGTCTTTGTATGCGTACTCGGACATATCCAATTTGATACCCAAGGACTTCTCACCTTCCCATTTCTTCAGTTCAGGCATTTTTGGTAATTTGACAAGTGCCCAAGCATTGCCTAGGTCAGTCCAGTCAAGATCAGCAACTCGGAATATACTACTTGCTTGATGTTTCGAGTATGCCTGGACCCAGCTGACAAACGCACGTTGACCTTTATCGTAAAGGGCACGGTCTGCGAGCACTTCTTTGCGCATCTTTGAGATGAGAATTTTGGCAGCATCATCAGTGATGTTGATTTCAGGGCGCTTGAGGGGTGTAATTGGAGTTTTACGAATTTCTAGAAATGGAATGTAATCTTCCTCTCGTCCTGGCTGTAAGAGAATAACACTCAATCCTTTTCGCCCAGCTCGGCCCGCTCGTCCGCATCTGTGAAGAAACACTTTTGGGTCTGACGGTGGATCCACTTGTACAACCAAGTCGACCTGTGGTATGTCGAGACCTCTTGCGGCTACATCTGTGGTGAGGAGTATCGTTGGGGTGACTGCTGTGACATACTTCGAGAAATTCCTTTGCCGTACGTTGGGCGGATGCTTGCCATGTAATGAAACCAATGCAAATTGCTTAGGCAAGACTGCCTCGAGTATAGGTTGGAAGTAATCGACCGCCGCACAAGTCGAGAGATAGATGATAGATTTTTGAGGAGTTGGTTCAAGCTGTGATAGTAAAGATAGTAAAGCAGGAAACTTGTGGGTTGGTGGAGTCAATAGGTAAGACATCTGAAGGCTCGCAGGGGTCATTTTATCACTCCCTCCAGCCCCTTTAACCTTCACGGCGATTTTCACTGGATTTCTCAGGCCAACCCTTACTATTTCCCCTACTGCTTCGCTAACACTGGCACTGAAGAGACCTGTCCGCCTTTGCTTCGGCAGACGACTGAGAATCTTTTGCAAGTCATCCTTAAACCCTAGATCCAATAACCTATCTGCTTCGTCCAAGACCAAGACCTCGAAGGAAGATTGCGGGCAATGAACATGTGGTGATGAAAGTAATTCGAGTAATCTCCCAGGTGTCGAGATGAGAAGATTCGGGCTATTCTTGAGAAATCTGCTGAGATCTTGTGCTGGAGTAGTTGTACCTCCAAGTAAAAGCTGTGGGACTACTCTTAACGTCGAAGAAGGTTTTCGCTTCTCGCCTTCCCCAAGTGGTTTCAGCGCTTCGGCAGATGGTTCGTGGAATGCGAGTAAAGAGGTGAGGACCGAATGAATTTGAGTCGCGAGCTCTCGAGTTGGGGAGACAATTATAGCACCGACATGGTGCTTCTTGATGGGTTCCTCCAATCTCAATAACTTTTCCACAACAGGTATCACGAAGGACAAAGTTTTCCCGCTACCCGTTACAGCCTTGGACTCGTCAGTATGAAGTTTTGAAAAATGATACAATGAACCTACCTCAACAACAACATCTTTATTTCCCATAAACAAGGGAATGGTAGATGCTTGTACTGGGGTCATTTTCTCAAACCCCATTGATGAGATGGCATCTAGGATCCATTCAGCTAATGAAGGTGTGAGCGCATCCCAAGCTCTTGGATCTTTCTTCTTCTCGCCATCGATCGCCATAGCTTTTGTTGTTTTAGATGTGAAGCTGTAGGTAATTTCTCTACCACTTCAGTTTGCGATGGAATTGAACTTTGGAATTTTCTTATCTTATCGGCATCAAACAATTTTATTTTTTACCGGGCCCGAAGCGAGTTAGACCCTTGTCCTGTGTCCTGTCGAGGGATGCACTCTACGTCAGAAATTAATTACAATACCGGTATGGCTACTTTATCCTTTGATGAAAGAAACTTCGATATTATTGACAGGAAAATACTCGCAAAAGCAAGTGAGAAGAAATTCCTTGAAATTTGATATTACACCAATATCAATATCAAAATCAATATTAACATCTATATATGTCATTTCTCAGCACTCATCTACCAATTTCACATGTAAAGTGGTCGCGTGCTTAGTCACTCACACTATTCAAGAATACCGGTAACCTTCTTTGCTGTTCTTTTGTGCCGCGTCCGGGGGACATCTTATCAGCCCGTGTCTCATTTAGTATTCAATCCCAGTCAACACTATTCGAGTATAAAAAGAAACATCTTGTTTATAACTCTCATGTGCCACGTCTCACGCGGCGCAAAAAGGCATCATATCTCTCTTCAACAATGCAGCTCAGTCTGCACCTCTCGTGCCTTCTCACACAATAGCTTTATTCGACACGCATTCTTCCACTGATCTCAGACGCTCTTCACGAAGAGATCAACATCACCTCTCTACCTTTTCGCTTCTGCGAGCATTTGCCTATAGTCGGCGGACACTTGCTGGTGTGATTCGTATACCTTGTTTGCCAGATTTCATTATGTCGAGACCATTTTCGAACATTCCGGCTACTCCGCGAGTCATATCTCCTTCCCCAACCCCATCAGATATGTCGCAAAATGGGGAATATTCTGGGCCTATGACGCGATCTGCGAGGAAGAAGCTGTCAGCGCAGACACTTCCGATAGATGAGGGAATAGATGAGGATGAGAGCGAGGATTCAGCTGTTGAGTTGGGTAGATCCAGGTCAAGGAGCCGAAGTCCTTTGAAACCTCGAAAAGTGGCAAATTCTGCAATTAATACTGCGAAAAACACCTTCAAACCTACCGATAATTTCAAGCCAGAACAAATAAATGGTACAAATGATGCCAATGGAAAGGCAACAAAGGGGCATCTCTCTCCCTCGAGTGCAAGCTCAGGCTGGAGCTGGAGGGACTTTAGCAGAAGTCCGAGCCCCTTGGGACTTATACCCATTCACAGACAATGGAGGATCTTTGTACATCGCCATGAAATACCAAGGAAGTTACTGCACGTTTCAATAGGATTCTTCACGATTTGGCTTTATATATCTGGTGTTCAAACAAATGCCATTACACCTTATTTAATGTCAGCCCTAATACCCATAGCAACGGTGGATTATGTTCGGCACAAATATCCGGCTTTTAATCGTTTGTACGTGCGATTGCTTGGAGCCTTCATGCGTGAAACTGAGTATGATGGATGGAATGGTGTCATCTGGTATTTACTTGGCGCGTGGGTCGTACTTGGATTCTTTCCGAAAGATATCGGTGTGATGGGAATACTCCTCTTGAGCTGGTGTGATACGGCGGCGAGTACAGTAGGACGAGCCTACGGAAGATATACTCCAAGGATAAGACGTGGTAAATCACTTGCTGGGTCCCTTGCTGCATTCGCCGTTGGCGTGGTCACCGCAGCCTCATTCTGGGGATGGTTAGCACCAAGGACCGGCCCCTTCTCCGACGATCTGGACTGGCCCTTTATGTTTTCGGGAGACTTGATACTTCCTGCGGGGATCCGAGATCTCATTGGTTTGAGTGAGGCTCAAAGCATTGTTTCTGGGGGGCTAGCTTTGGCTATCATGAGTGTATGGACGGGTTTCACAGCGGCAGCTAGTGAGGTAGTAGACATATTTGGGTGGGATGACAACTTAACGATCCCGGTTCTCAGTGGATTTGGGATGTGGGGATTTTTGAAGATATTTGGGTAAGAGGGTATAAAGCGCAATATAATCACAGGCACGGGAGGCGTTCCGGGTAACTCAACATGGCGAGAGTATATTAGAGATGGGATGGGACGATAAAGCAGGCAAATCCTAATGTGCATATATAGATTCATTTCACACCGAGTTTATGTCCATGCAAAGAGGGGGGTACAAAATAGATGTATAAGTAGGACGATCCAAAAATTCAAAGTACCAAGCATAAGCATGCAGTGAGAGCTGGGTGGCCATTCCACGATAATTCCGAAATTGAAGCATGTGAGGACAATCTACGCATACAATGTCAAGAATTGAGTAATATCATTGGTTGAAGGGATAAAAGGAACACAGCCCTGCCACTTCAACCGTTCGTACGTTGCTGCCGCACCGTTTGATTGTAGCTCAATGTCCAAATGCACAATTGGAAATGATATATCTGCAGGATAGGACCCAGCTTCGGAACAAGAAAATGTAATATATTCGGTAACACAAATTAAGACTACAGTACTTACTACCTACCTACTTTCATGGCTTTCATGAATATATCACTATCAATCAATTGAATAGTCTTCGGGAGTGATTGTGAATATGTAACTATTCAACTTATAGTCGTAGATTGGGCTTCTAAGTAATAATAATAATGTCTTCATACTTTTTGCCTTCATGACGTGCAGAGTGTTATTCAAAATGCTGGGAAAGAACATCGAGATCTTTGGGACGGAAAGCAATCCTGTGATCATTTGTCCTGCATGTGTTGGTGGTTTCTCAAGAGGAAAGGTAGATAGATGAATGATATTACAGTACAGTGATAATCTTCAATGTTGGTGTCATTTCTATTCGCCTGTTTCTCATTCCCGTCCCAATCCGACACGGGGGAAAGGGGGGGGGGCGGGGTTGAGGAAGCATTAAACGGTAGAATTTCCAATTTGACAACGCATACAGATGAGAACAAACGAAAGTAAGTCATACTGTAAATAGGAGAATTTTCCAAAGTCAAATTGTTCAATTGACCAATAGACCAATTCCCTTGATGAGAATTTCAAGATTTCCTAATTGAAATGAATTGATGTTGGTATGAGTGAGTTATACGTTGTTACTTATTGTACGAGTATCAATCATATCATGTTGGGATCATCTCCGGCCCTAAAGCCTAATCTTCCTGCAATGAAGCCTAATTGAAATCTTTTTGACCATCCAACGTTCAGAATGCTTTCCGCCATGATTATCTTACTTTGCCTTACCAATACCTTACCGCTTTACCAACTTAACCTGACCTGATCTCACTTACCTACGACGACGTTCATATGGAATTCCCAATTCCCACATGGCATATTCATCCAATGCTGCTTTTATATCGGGATCCTCAAACAATACATTTGATTAATCCTTTTTTTTCTTTAGCGTGGGCGCGCTTGCTGGTTTGTTCGTCTGTTTTCATAACTCATAACTCATAACTCACTATACACTTTTACGGCGTAGTTCGTTCTTTAAAAATTATAGAGAATTTGTCCACCACCACCACCACTACCACCACCCTTCCTTCCTTCTTTCCTTCTTTCTCACCCTTTCCCACCAATCCAATTCCCTCGGCATATGCAATGGCAACACGGCCTATCTCTAATATCTTCTACTACTCTTGAACCAATCCAATCCGACTGCGTAAGCCTGAACTGATCAAGGGTCATCCCATCGAGATATCCTACTGCATGTTGGGAGGCTTCGGGTTAAACGTGAGAGGAAGGGAAGGGTGGATTGGAGGAGGCTGGTGGTAATGGACTAGTAATGAAAGGGGCAAGAGGGCAAAAGATCAGCCTATCTCTACCTGCTTGACGCGGGGTCATTGATACGTAAGGAAGCTCGGGGGCAAGACAATTTCCCATTCCCCCTCCTTCATGCTAGTCTTCTCTAGGTGATCTGGGCCAACTGGCCGTGTATAAAAGGAAGTGTGAGACCCTCCTCGAGAGATTTCCTTTCTTCTTCCTTTTCATCCATTCCCAAATTCCATTCTCAACTCTACACCGCTTCATACAAACAACTTCATCACCTTGTCTAACAAACAAGACGTCTCATATCCATTGATCCATAATACTCTTGTCTGTGCTTGACTGTTGTATCATCTCATCGTCAGGATACTACCTCGTATCTTTCACATTGCTTGCATTGCATAGCAATTCATATTCAACAATTCACTCGTCTTAACACTTCTTTGTTGTCGTTTGCAAATTTTAACTTTACTCTAATTCCACACTATTACATCATGGCATACCAACCAAGCTACTACCAAGCCACCTCCCTCCCCATTCCTGTTCCTGCAAAATCTCAACAAGTTTCCTATTACACTCCGCAAAATACAACCTATGGAGTCTCGCCACCAGAAGCTCCAGAATCTGTCACTACTGGGTCCGGCATGACGCCCGCATATGGAAATTCTACATACTCCGCTACTTCTAGTAGTTACGCTGGAAGTGCAAGTGGCGAGTATGATAGCACTGCTTCAGCCAACGGAGTCGATTTGCAAGAATACATGCAAGATCGGTTTTCTGGTGCATTCGACGCTCTTCCTTTAGATCGCACTCTAGCAGTTCAAGCACAAACGTGAGTCAATTGACTGCTGAAATTTCTTCCCCCCGTTTAGCATTTACTGACAATCTCATCAGGTCTGGTTTATTGAATGCAAAACATAGAGAAATCATGGATTTGCAAGCATTGGCGCAAAAACGTCTTGCAAGAACTAGAGCGAGGTTGCAAGAAGGCTATCAAGATGCTAAGGAGGTGAAGTCGAATTTAGAATGGACCCAGCATCGAATGGGGTGAGTGATGATTTTCTACACTTTGCCTCAACGAAATTTCAATTCTAACATCATTCCAGAGCAATCAAAACCAAAGTCTCCAAAAGACACCCAAAAGAATACGCACAAGCCCGCGAGCGATACCCGTCTCCAGAGTACTAAACGCGCTTTTTTGATATTTTCTACTTTTCTAACCATCGCTTACGAAAAAGTTCCCCCTTTTCTTTTCCTTGAGACCTTTTATGCTAGCCGCAGCACATGCATTATTTTCTGCGCTGCTTTTATTCTCCCACAAAGCGGATCTTCAAAGGCATTTTTCAAACGAAGTTACGACGATTGTGATTGGATGGCGCGCTTGTAATTACCAAATGCGGGGATTTTCAGCGCGTGCCGGTTGAACAGCCTCTCAGTACTCAGATGGTGAGAGACGCCAGGGCTGCAGTAGTTCCCGGCTATGCATGGTACTGCGGGCCCTTCAGGGACCGGATTCCGCAGCTGTGGAGCTGGGTGTGGTGTGGTGGTAATGGGATGGGTATGGGTGAGATTGAAACTTTGTGCTTTTGGAGGGAGGGGCTGTTTGTAGAATGATTGGGCTGTATTTTTCATGAGAGTGGGAGGTTGGTTTTTGGTGCGGGTGCGGGTGCGAGGTGCGGGGTGAATGGGTGGGTGGATCTCTGTAAGGGCAAAATGAAATGGCGTGGGTCTATTGACTGGGTTTGGGAGTTGGGCATTTGGCTGGGGGTCAGATATGCGGTCAGATATGGAGTTAGTGAATGCAAGAACCTCTCAAATATATATATGTGAATGCTGCTTTGTGAGTGGCTGGTGTGTATGTTATGATTTAATTTGTGAGCTGAATAGGTAAGGTATAGATGATAGATGGTAAGAGGGGTAGATATGGATCTCTGCCTAGAAGCCTTGCCTCTCTGAGACATACATGATATATCTGATACATCATGCATCTTTCTCCCACCTGACAATTGTCCACTCATTCCACTTGCCCATCTGCTCGTATCCTTGGTACATGTCTCGATTGGGTCCATGACATAAGCAGGTCTCCAAACCGTCTCTCCACATCTCGTCAGTTCGACTGTGAGTCGATGGCCAAGCCCCTGCCATGACCTTGCTTTCTTCCAGAGTACCGGTATTCTATCTTTGATATAAGGCTGACAGTATTCGTCCATATTCCTATGATATACGTCACGCTTCAATCGTAAAGCTCGAGAGTTCTCTCCGTGCCTGTACATGATATGATACCCAAACATTTCATGCTATGTATGCACCATTACTCTGCGCAAAACCCCTATTCGCATATTATGCTCTCCTATAAGCTATCCCTCAAAGCCCAGCTCAAACAAGGCCACCTATCACCGTATCCCCTGCCCCCGCATCTCTCTCTTTATCCTTCTCCTTTCCCCCCGCACCATTCCCAGTCCCATTCCCATTCGCACAGCCCTCATCCCCCCCAAACAACCCCCTCCTTCCTCCCCTCCAAACCCGTTCCAACACCCCCCTTCCCGGCAACAATCTTTCAAAAACTACTACTAACTCCACTTCTCCCTCCACAACAACTACCAACACGTACCTCACCTCGAAATTGTGAAACACCTCATTAATATAAATATCCTGAATCTTCTGACTCGGTATAAACCGCGTTTTGGTAGTCGTCAGGTATGTTTTGGGAGACGAACTGATTTGTAGACCGAGATGGCGGAGAATGAGTAGGGATTCGGAGGTGTGGGGACGCAGGGTGAGGGTGTAGAGAGTGATGAGGGAGAGGGGGAGGAGGAGAAGGGGGGAGAGAAGGGTGGCGAGGAGAGTGAGAGGTGAGAGGATGAAAGGCGGGATGGTGAAGGAGGAGAGAATGGTTGGGGCGGGGAGGACGGTGAGGTAGTAGGTGTATAGGAGAAGGAGGATGGCGAGAGCGAGGGTTACGCGGATGATATGCGTAAGGAGAAGGAGGATGCGGAGGGGGAGTGGTAAGGGTGGGTGCGTGCTGACGGTGTATTCAATTGTTGTTGGGGAGGGGCGCCGAGTAAAGAGAGTGGGGGGACAGGTGAGCATGATTGATGCATCGACTGAGGATTGTCGAGTAGTGTGAGGTGTTGTAGAGTATAAGCATAATATATGTTGTGAAAGGAAACCAATCTGGGAAGACGAGGCTTATCGATAAGGATTTTTTGGGACCCAAAGACGAGGCTGAGGGTTAAAGCTTGGGTTTTGCAATTAGAGATGTAGAAGTTGAGGATGGTATAATTTGGATATCAATTGCTGCGAGAGAGTATTATGCATCAGTACTACTTTCTTTGCCCCTCCCTTCATTTTGTCTATACTATACGACTGCATACGTGGCAGATCTGGAAGCCATTCCTGTTCCCGCGAACCTCCCCAAATCGACCAGAATGAAGTCTACCTTGATATCAGCCATAAACCTGCAGCACCGTAGCCAAAATCCCAAACGGATCTCCAAATTCCATATTCTTCTCACCTTTCTGAATACCTCAAATTCCCTTCCATATCATCACCTCTCACTCCCCAGTATCAATCTCCAAATCGATTTGCACCCCATTTCCCACCCCATAGTCCTCAAGCGTCAACTTATCCTTAAACGGCCTCTCCCCCTGCCTCTTCAACATAATTTCATGCGGCTGTCTCCCAATCCTCGCCGCCACCTGCGCTTTAAACAGTTTAATCGGATCACTCGCCAGACACGGGATCGCCGCCTTGGTTCCCAACCGATCATTAACATGCACGATAATCATAGGTTCATTCGAAGGCGCCGATGAAGCGGAAACCGCAGTAGATATATGAGCTGCGGGGGGTCTAATCGGCGGAGTGGAGGAATCTGAACTTTTATCTTTGGGTTTGGAGGAAGACGAAGCTTTAAATTTCGAAAAAGCAGATGCGCCGAATTTGCTGGCGATATCGAGGGTATCTTCCTCTTCAGGCATTTCAATATCTTTTGACCCTTCTTCGTCTTTCTTTGGTACTTTGTCAGTAGAAGAAGAACCAAACTTCCCTGCGATATCTAAATTATCATCTGCAGCAGCTTCTGTGGGCGAAGGTCTTGGTTCTCGCTCTCGTTCTCGAATTGGTGATCTCTTTCTATCTCTTCTGGGTGATCGCGATCGTTTGCGGTAAGTTTTATCCGTGTCGCGTTCAGGAGATCTAGATCGAGCTCGTTTTTTGAATTTGAGGCCTGCCATGGTGATTGAGATGTTATGAAAGAAGAAAGCTCATGGCCATAGATTAGATGCTATATTCTAGTGCTCGGTCGGTTAAAACTCGGCTCCTTTTCACTGTCATATACTATCATCTGAATTACAGAAAAGTTGCAGAAGGTCAAGTCACTTACTCGCATAATATTCACTTGTGACTGTCACATTGATAGTTGTTATTTTGAACGAAGCTTTTATTGATTCTGAATATGCTGACTATTGTGCCAATGCAAAATATGTTATATGCAAGAAGCATCTAAGCGTGTAAAGACAATAACCTGACTCTGCCATCCTACGACGCCAATGTATAAACAAACAACCCTATACGCCCAGACTCATGATATCCGAAGCATTATGATACAGAACTGAAAGAAGAGTTAAATCCAATCATTCAATCCTTACTCTTCTTCTTCTTCTTCTTCTCAGACTTTTCGACATCATCTTCCGACTTTCGCTTCTTGCCACTGACAACTGGTGTGTCTACAGCGCTCTTCTTTGCTTCCTTTGCTGCCTTCTTTGCTTCCTTTGCAGCTTTCTTTGCAGCCTTTTCGGCTTTCTTAGCAGCCTTCTCGGCCTTTTCAGCCTTTTTGGCTTCCTTGTCTCCCTTCTCTCCCTTCTTGGATTTCTTCTCAGATGCATCACTCTCGTCCGAAGAATCGGAACTAGATTCCTCAGCGACTTCTTCGATGAGTCTAAAATAGTTAGCAGTGTATCGTTATTTCTATTGCATTGAAGAATGTTCACTCACGTCTTGTTCTTCTCTCTGACAGGAATAGCGGCAGCTGGTTCATCCCCAGCAAGCCCATCTGCATCTGCATTGTATTTTCGGGCTTCCTTGACTTCCCATTTACCAGGAGCGGATGTCGACTTGCCATTTGGTCCAACAGCAACACCTCGAGGAAGAAGAGGCTTCCCTTCAAGTCCTCGGAGATGACGTTCAATCTTGGCACGTGAAGTGACACCCAAGGCGGATCTCTCCTCATCATCAACGTCATCACCTTTGCCTTCACCCTGTGCACTCCAGTCTGACAAAGCATCGACGCGGATTCCAATGGCCGCCTTAGCGGCCAACATACGCGCGATCTTTCCCTTGTTCTTACCGGTAGCTTGACCAACCAATGAAGCGTGGTAGATGAGACCGTATTTTGGAGTGTCATGTTTCGTCTTGAGAGCTCTGAATAGAGCCTTTTCAGCACCAAGAATTTGGATGGTACTAGCAGGGCTCTTTGCGAGACTCATGAGAGATCCAGCATGGGCGATCAATCGAGCTCCAACCAGCTCACCAACCAACTCTGTCAAGTTGGGAGCAATCGCTTGCATACGGGCCGACAAGTAGCTTGACAATTGCTGACGATATTCTGTAAAGCCAACAACTTGGTCGGCCAACAGTTTGATGTTCTCCAAATCTTCTTCAGTGATTTCGGTACCCATACTAACTTCGGCAGCGGCTTTGATGGCAGCTTCGATTTCTTCAGGAAGAATATCTGCAAGGTCGGTACTGGAAGTGTTGACGCGCATACCAACCTTCAAGATAACTCTGGCGTAGGCCAAGTTGTCGTTTACAATCTTGCCCATTTCTGGGAAATGCCATCCGTACCATTCCTTGACTCTCATGGCGTATGTGTTGAGCTCCTTGTCCAAATCGTCCAACAACGAAATAGCTTGCACAATCATGGTGTCAACCTTATCGGGTGAGAACTTCAACTTGTGGCGTGACAAAGAATGCGACAGACCAAGTGACATGGTGGAGATGTGTTCGGGAAGAAGACCTGGGATCAAAGAGGGGAGGTGATCGCGGATTCCACGGAAAATATCATTTGTCTTCGAGTCGGAGATTGGTGTGAGAGTCAAGCCTGGAAGCTTGTTGATGGCTTGTCCCAATTTAGGGTCAGCCACTGCCAATGATGCCTTCTTCTCATCTTTTAGAGTATCGAGAAGTTTTGCAAGCATAGGTGAAACTTTTCCCTCGACTAACGAAGCAACCTCCTCTAAAGCTGTCGCGGCACTGTCGAACTTTTGAAATTGCTTAAGCTTCAATCTAGACCGCGGAATTGAACGTGTTAGAAGTCTGTATCTCAATTGAAAGAGTACTATTTCGAAGCAATTGCACTCACAATCCATTGATACCCTCTGCGGTTTCTATTTCCGAGGCAACATCATCACTCTTCAGCAGCTTTTTGTCTGCCTTGAATAAGACCAATCCCGCCGCCGTCTCTGTAAGAATAAATAAAGGCGCCATTGTGAAGAAAAGTTCAAGTCTCTTCGTCGTAATGATGTTAAACAATGGGCGTTCAAAATTCTGAATAGAGCTCGAGGTTTTCCGCAAGGAATAAATTTTTGTTCGAGCAAAAAATAGTGGCAGGCGCTAATGAGAAACTCAAGCCACAGAGGTGCCCACATTGGCCTAGTGCTATGTATCATGTGATCCATACCCAGCCTCAGCCAACCCACTCACGGATCCATGCAGGTAGCTCTTGCGAAGGCAACTCGGTCCAGACAAACCTCAAGCAACATCAATAGATCTTGTTCACACACAACCAAACGAAATGGAGGGTCTATTTTTCAATGTTCAGAATGGGTAAGCTCCTAAAATCATCTCTACCATATCAATATCTAACTCTCTCATAGCTATATTGAAGGTATCGTCAGAGGTTATCGCAATGGACTCTTGACAGGCCAGAATTATAATAACTTGATTCAATGCGAGACCATAGATGGTATTCAATATTTTCCTATCTCCCGAACACATCAATTAACAAGGAATTAGATCTCAAGCTTCAACTTGGACCAGCATACGGCGATTTCCTAGCATCACTTCCTCCTAATCCTTCAACATCTACCCTCGCCGCGAAAACAACCGACAAACTCATTTCCGAATTTCGATACCTACGAGCAAATGCAGTTGGATCGCTCGCGAAGTTCATGGACTACCTGACGTATGGATATATGATCGACAATGTAGCCCTTTTGATTACTGGCACTCTGCACGAAAGAGACACCCGGGAATTACTTGAACGATGCCACCCTCTTGGTTGGTTCGAAACTATGCCCGTTCTTTGTGTGGCTACAAACATAGAAGAGCTATACAACAGTGTTCTGATTGAAACACCATTAGCGCCATACTTTAAGGGAAGTTTGAGCCACCAAGACTTGGACGAACTCAACATTGAGATTGTCCGGAATACCTTGTATAAAAACTACCTAGAGGATTTCTACAACTTCGTCAATACCGATCCAGAAATGGCCAGCACTCCGACAGCCGAAGTCATGTCTGAGATACTTGAATTTGAAGCTGATAGAAGAGCTATCAACATTACACTAAACTCCTTTGGTACAGAGCTTTCAAAGAAGGATCGCCAAAAGCTATACCCCAATTTTGGTCGTCTATCTCCAGCAGGAACAATCTTACTTTCAAGAGCAGAAGATATTGAAGGTGTTAGACTTGCAGTTGAGGGAGTTAGCGATTACAAGGGTTACTTTGATGCCACCGGATTGGGACAAAGCAGCACTGGAGCGGGTAACATGAGCGGAGGAGCTGGTGGTAATGAGAAAAGTTTGGAAGATATGTTCTACCAAAAGGAAATGGAAATCTCCAAGGGAGCATTTACGAGACAATTCACATTTGCAATTGTCTATGCATGGGTCAAGTTGCGGGAACAGGTACTTTCAATTATTAATACCCCGCCAATGGATTATTACTGACTATTCACAGGAAATACGGAACATCACCTGGATCGCTGAGTGCATAGCACAAAATCAGAAAGAACGAATCGGCAACTATATCAGTGTATTCTAGTGTAGGATGAACATGTTAATAGTCTTTTCATTAAACTTAGCTTTAGGCTGTCGAGGTTTTGTACTGGTCTAGTTGGCGAGATGGCGTAGGGAGATTACGGATATTGATTATAAAATTGCATGGTACACTTTCATACCTTCCTTCTATGATACATAATTTGATGCGTTGGTATACATTTTGATATTATTTACAGACTGATCTCTCCTGCCCATGTACCCTCCGTCAAGCCCAAGGTTGAAGTCAGATTCTCCCACCTATCACTTCCACGCTCCTTTTTCCTCAAATAATTTAGCAACTTCTGCCTTCTGTGAACCAACAATCTCAGATTTCGTTTGTTGACCTTATCCTTGTTCCCGCGCCCCGAATCCAACTCATTCGCAAGCACCCTAATTTTGGTAGTCAAAATCGCAATTTGAACTTCAGAACTGCCTGTGTCTGGTCCAGCTCTGGGTGTCTTCTCTGGCCTATCCGCACCTTCAATAGCATCGTGCGTGGGTGCCCTAGGCCTCAAAACTCCATCCGTATTGTGGCGTCCGAATGTATCTATACATCTTACGATGTTCGCCCTGGTCTTATCCTTCGAACTTGCGATTTCTAAGCTTACAATGCGAGCCATTGCTGCGGCCGCATTTGCGTGAGCTTCCTCGTGCCGCTTCTTTGCCTGATCCTCGGCGTAAATGTCTGCTAAATCTCGATTCTCGGCTAACAGAGGTGTCGTCAGGTAGTGTGAATGTTCGATGCCAGCTTGAAGTGTGGTCGGGGTCAAATAGTGGTTCAAAAAGATATCCTTGGCAGCATCTGTTGCAGCATCTGTTTTCGCCCCTTTCTTCGCTCCTTTTTTAGAACCATCAGTTGTAGTCGTATCTAATATAAGCGTGGATCCTCCAACGGTATCCATAGATTGTAGATATGGTGTCAACACGCCCCGTACTGGATCTCCTAAGGATGTTGCCCGTTCCTTCTTAAGCACTGCCTGCCTTTCCAAATTCGACTCCTTTCTCTGTCTTGATTGTGCTAATGCATAAGGGTCTTTATGCGCTCTTCGCTGGGCGAATGTGGTCGCATTGGCTATGCATGTGGTGGAGAAAGAGCACTTTGATGGACTTGGGGCCGGGCGAAAACATACTATTATTACCGTTAGATAAATTGATTCAGGCTGATATCCATTATTCTGATCTTACGAGAAGGTGCGCTCAAGCGCGACAGAACGGATGTTCGAGGAGGCATTGTAAATGTGTTGAATCGGCTCAGCAATCAACAAGCCTAGTAAGCACTCTGCTCCCCCTCAAAGTCCAATCTAGATAAATTTCCAAGCTACGACCTAATATAGACTAGCACTAATGTCATTATCTAAGCCTAATATATGTGGCTTATATCATGAAGCTCATTAGCTAATCTTGATTAGGGTTTCGCGAACTTTTCTTTCGCACCATTGCGAAATCGATTTTCCGTCCCTCGCAAATCGACAACTTCACGACAATTATCTCCTAAAGGTTTGACCAACTCGACAATAAAGTCAAATCGCAAAGATGGCACCTTCCCAACTCCCCGCGATTTTCAATCCTACATCCCAAGACATTGAGCAGCTTTTGGCCGCTCAGTGTCACTTGGGATCCAAGAACTTGCAAGTTCACATGGAGCCATACCTCTGGAAGACTCGCCCAGATGGAATCAATGTTATCAACATTGGCAAGACCTGGTAAGTTTGATATAGAAGAAAACTGAAAGCCTCGGTCAACAAAGCTCAAATCTGACAAATTTATTTTTAGGGAGAAGATCGTTCTTGCTGCCCGTATCATCGCAGCCGTCGACAACCCAGCTGATATCTGTGTTATCTCCGCTCGTCCTTACGGTCAACGTGCTGTCTTGAAGTTTGCCGCACACACCGGTGCTGTTGCCATTGCTGGTCGTTTCACCCCTGGTAACTTCACCAATTACATCACCCGATCCTTCAAGGAACCCCGCCTTATCATTGTTACCGACCCACGTACCGATGCTCAAGCTATCAAGGAGGCTTCCTACGTCAACATCCCAGTTATCGCCCTTTGCGACACTGATTCCCCAACTGAGTTCGTCGACGTAGCTATCCCAACCAACAACAAGGGTCGTCACTCCATCGGTTTGGTTTGGTGGATGTTGGCTCGTGAGGTCCTCCGTCTCCGTGGATCCATCGCTTCCCGCGAGGCTGAGTGGGACACCATGGTTGATTTGTACTTCTACCGTGACCCAGAAGCTGAGGAGAACAAGGATGCCACTGAGGAGGTTAAGGCTCCAGGTGCCGATGAGGTACGTTATACATGTCCCATCACTCTCGTGAGACCCATTACTAATTCACTTTCACAGGTCGGAGCTGCTGCTGTTGACCAAGGATTCACCGGTACCGGTGATTGGGAAGTCACTGGTAACACTGCTGGTGCATTCACTGCTGCTAGCACTACTGCTGCTGCTGCCCCTGCTGGAGCTTCATGGGATGCTGCCGAGCCATCTGACTGGGCTGCTGCACCAGCTGCCGCTGGACAGGAATGGGCTGCTAGCGCAGCTACCGAGCAATGGTAAATGTGTCATTATTCAACAAAAAATAATTAAGATGTTCCCGCAATGACCTTTATTTCTTGGGGGTTAAATTTGAAAGCACTTATGAGGGAAAGATACTCGATAACTATCCATGTGCTATGGTTTGAGAGGGAAAGCCCTGTGCGTTCAAAAGGAATGGACTTGATCGTTATTCTGCTCTCAATGAAATAAGTCTCTGATTGTGGCATCACAATCTTAGATGACATTTGCAAAGGATTGATGTTTCTGATGTGACATGGTTGACACAACACTTCGTCGTAATAAATAAGGTCATGTTATAAAAAGTATTGTAACAACAGTGGTAAGTCTCAGACCATGAGACTGTTTGTTAGTGCCTAATCCCTCGGTAGTCTCGTCGCATATTGTATCGTGAAAACACATCCATCCTGTTTCTCTAAAAAATGTAAGTTCGTAATTTTTTTACCAACTGCAACTGAACAGACGCACTTCTGAGCTCCCGCTACACACAAAACACGTCTATTCATGGAAGACATCCTCCATAGAATTAACATTATATCCCCGATGAGTCTTAGTCTCAGTGATATCAAAACTACTCTACTCTATAACCACAATAACGATAAATCCCCTCCCCGGTGAGCTTCCCTCGGTAGGGTATCGGTGGTGCCATGGTGGTATAGTGGTAGGTGCGAATTCAATACAGTACTACTACAAAAATAAGCTAAATAGCTAGTAAGCACCTGGTAAGTTGTGAGTTGTGACTTGTAAGTTGTGAATTGTGAGTTGGATTTGTGTCTGGAGATTTATTTGAGGAGTTTTTGAAGTGAAGTGAAGTGAAGTGAAGTTTTGATATCTACCTATTTGTTTTTAAACGTGGGTTTGGATGTGAGAAAGGGATAGGTGAGAATGGGAGGGACGAAGGAAGGAAGGGGGGGGAAAGGGAGTGGAGAGATGGATTGAAGGAGTTCATGGTTGTGTATTCGAAGTATATGTATATGTACATATATGTATAGGTAGGTAGGTAGGTAGGTAGGTAGTATATAAACTTGGGTAGTACTCGTACAGATTTGGATATTGCATCCTGGAGTTGAGTTGAGTGTATCTACTACTCGAGTATAAAGTGATGTAATATTTGTTATATATAATATCTGAAATTACAGATACCTACCTAGACGCTTGATTATTTATATGTACAGTAGATATTACTACTCGAGTAGTAGATGGGACATTACTGTACTCGTACTCGTACTCTACTAGTATAAACTACTTTTAGAATCATTGTATTGAGTACAGAGTAGTAAGATGATGATGATGATGATGATGATGATCAAGATTGGGATATTTGGTTTTCAAGGTTTGTAGGTTGTCGGCTGCTAATGGTACGAGTATAGGTATGTATGTATGTATGTTACTTGTGGGATGTTACTTTAGAAACGTTGAGTGTTGTTATTATTATATGATGGGGATGATTGCATTGCGTTCTTAAAACTTCATTTATATTTTCAAAACTCGAGTATACCGAGTGTGTATCACCGGTGTATGCAAAATACTACTCAGTGGTATACTCATGCTCATGCTCCTCGTCAGACAAAAACATACATCTCTCCTCCCACAACCATTCTCATGATTTATAATTCCATCTTCTAATCATTTGGTGAGTTCAAGTATCCATTTTCCTTCAATCTTTGATACTCTTGTTTAATATCGTCTGGTATTGGGGGATCAGATATTCGTGTAGTTGGAATAGATGTCCGATTAAGGGAGTGAGAGGTAGAGTTCGAGGAGTTTGGGATAGTTAGGTGTTCCGAGACCTGTTGTGTGCTAGAGTTAGTATAGTATTTTAGGGTGTTAATTAGCTTGGATCCATCCAACGTTTCATCAAACAAACTCAAAAGCATTCAATCCAGAAAAGAAGAAGTAAAAAACTAACCCGTAACAGGATCCCACCCATCCACGGCCACAAATCCAGTAGTCCCACACCCCTGATTTCCCCCGCTCGTGATATCATTCAACGCATCTGGATTAGCATACAAAACCGGGTTAACAAACCCAACGGGTTTCTTTCCAGCGTTCAAGCGTGCAGCGTTTAGCAAGGTAAAGATGGCGCCGATAACGGGGGCAGACGCAGATGTACCGTAGATGAGAGAAAATACTCCGTCGACGGCAACCACGTAGTTTACACCGTTGGCAGATATATCGGGGAATCCGCGAGTGGCTTGAGAGTTGTTGTATTGGGTGGAGGTATAAGGAGGTAGGTGGTCGGCAACTGGAGAGGGGTTAGTAATTGAGTTATGGAAGGAGAAGGGTTATGAATAGTCGATGTAGATTGGCGTTGAGATTGAAGTGTGTGATGTTGAAGAATTATTTATGCTTACAGTAGGTTGCCACGACGTCGGTTTGGTAGTCGGGGATGGGGAAGACGTTAGAGAAACCTCCACCAGAATAAACTGGGACGCAATGGTTAGCATATATGAGAGGAAACCTATCAGAACAGCGAAGAAATGAGAATACTTACTGACGGATTCGGCAGCTTCTTCTGGTTGAGTGACAGTAGCGTTGGGCTTTATTTGTGTAGCTCCGACGGATGTGATGTATGGGCATGTACCGGGGAATGAAGGATTGAATGCTGTCCCAATTATGTGAGTACCGAGCCCGTAATCATTATTTGAAGGAATAAGACATACAGTTGCTTGTGCCACATACTCCTCCATTACCAGCAACACCATAATCACCAGAAGAGTATAAGACTGTGACGCCTTGAAGACCTAGCTTTAGATATTCATTGCATTGACGTATCTCATAGGCGGCTGAAAGATCAGATTCGTCGAAACCATAGGATGTAGAAATGACATTGGTGGCAGCAAATCCACCACAGTTCTCTGGTCCTTGGTAGTAGTAGCTGCCGGTACCGTATGTATCAGGATAGACTGCATCGTAAACCGCATCGTCACCACCGTCTGATGTACAATAGTCGCCGTCGATCGCGTCAAGGAAGTTGTTGAATGAAGCACCCTCTCCAATGTCTCCAGTTTGATATAGTGTCACCTTTTGAGGATATGCAAGTGCCATTCCGTATTCAAGATCCAAGTCCTGGGTTAATTCAGCTAGACATTACAAGAAGGGGAATTGATAATTGACATACGGATTCTCCGTTGTAATTGAAAGACTCTTCGATTGTCTGCAATTCACCACCATCGATGGAGTCGAAAATAGGTCTAGCACCAACAAGCGCAGGTGAGAAGTTGCCAAAGAATAGATCCAAATCTGTAGTCAAAGTCAGTATTTACCATCCTACATATAAAGCAACACTTACCACTCGGGAGATATGCTTGCGGGGTGTATTCGACAATACCATAGGAATCTGTCAATGGTTAAATTTGAAACCAACAATGTAGGGCCATACTAACTTCCTTCCGCAGCTGGCGCGTCTGTTGGAAGTCCATACAAAGCCCGGAGACATTCGGGTGTAACATGTGTATTGCAAGCTGTCAGGGCTGAAGATTGAAGTCCAGCATGCGATGTGCCAGTAATAATTTTACCCTGTTTGGGCAGAGATGGGTCGTTCGGTGAACCCACTCTGTGGTTCTCGCCAATTGCTCTTCTGGCGAGCTCGTCTTTTTGGCGGGTGCTTAAATCTCGCTTTTCCTTGCGAGGTACAACCTTTGCATCGAAGTGAAGAGTTGGTGTAATGAAATCAATATGTTTGCGTACGTGTTCGGGGACGCTGTAGTCATCACAGGCAGCAGCAGTTTGGCCACTTTCGGTATGCGTGTAGGCCTTTCGGGGAGTAAGTAATTGCACATCAAAGAAGCCTCTGAATTACAATGAATAACCAACGCTGTGTAAGAAAGTGGGGACGATGCAGGAGACTTCCACGTAAAGATGAACATCAGGGAGTACGATATGTAAGAACCGATTAAGCTTACGTAGTATTTAGTGTTGAGAAGTGATTCGGCTTCTGCAACAGTGACGTTGACATGAACCCAGCTGAGACTCTGTGACTGTTTCACACGCTCGCTCTTGATGCCGTATTCATCAAGCCATTGGATAACTGATTTGACCGAATCGGCACTTGGAGCAAAGGTTTCGGCGACTTTCTTTGCACTCCAATGGTCGCCAAAGTTGGGAGAAGAGGGATTGGAAACATCCATCAAGTAGGCTTCCGCATTTTGCAAGTTGTTCTGGGTGAGAGCGAATCGCATTGGCAGATGTGAATCTGGGTGTAGTGGATTCTCTCTATGCCAGTTACGAGGCGCTTGCTCTCTTCGCTCATGAACAACGTTTCGTTTTTGAGGAGCTGGAGCAGCAATCACTCCGGTCAAGAGACCGTATGCAACGATGAAAGAGAAATGCATGATGTGATAAAAAAGAGAGTTCACTTGAGTTTTTCAACCACTTAGGGAGAGCTCGAGCTCTTATGGAATAATGAAAATAGCTATGGGAGCTTCCTTATCACCTACCATGTCTGAAAAGTAACTGTCAACATGGGTGCAGAGCCATCTTTCTGGCGTACTAAGAACCTGGCAGCGATGTATTGCAAGGCTGCATGCGAGGCTACAGATATAATCAGGGGGGTCAACAGGGTTATTGACACCATTCTTACCCATATTTGACTAGTTTAATAAGTAACTTGCAGCATTAATCAAATGTAAAATCTTTATCTCAATACACTTGCATGAGGAGAGAGAGTAAAAGGAAGGAGTTGATACAATGTGCATCACCTCACCTGCCTGATGAAGAATGGTTGATAGGTATAGAAAGTGTTGCAATGGAGAGTAGCAATAACACCATCAGTAAGTTCTTATAACGCTCCAATCGATTCTCTTAATGCTATCTGAGACCTTTGGGATAGACAAGAAGCTTAGCATCTCGTGCTCATTCATTTCCTTCATGATTCCAGGATTCATGAGATAATGTGAGTCTCACAACATTTGAAGGTTTGAAGGGTGAAGGTAAGAATTGAAATCAATATTTATGAATATTGATAAGAAGTACAATATGCGCCGAGATAAGGTATATCGGACCTAATAACCCCCCCATTCCCTATACGGCAGGTATGTATCTCGGTGAAGATATAAATGAATAGAATGTAATATAGATTTATACCCCTCCACCACTCATATAGCTTGGTACTAGGTAGTCTTGCATAAATCTGAATCTAATGGCATAATCTAATGGGGTTACTCCGTACTTTGTCGTAGACTTTTATCTTTTGTATGAAAACTGGTAGTTACTTTGGTAGAGCTAAATGAAGGGTACTGGGTACCGTACTATTCGTCATTTCAATTCGCCAAATTTCGAAAAGCCATAATAGGTATAGCGCAAGAAAATAACAGAACAGCAATTCATCAATACCATGTACTGGTACATACCCCGCAATCCCGCATTTCCACAAATCCCACAATCCCACAATCCCACAACACAACTCAACTCAACTCAATAACTACTGGTATATACCGGTACAGCAACAAAGCAAGCACTAGATATGACTGGTGTCGCCGCGGGCTTTGTTCATTTTCTTGACCGACCTAACTATGAGGGACGTCTTGTATCTTTCTATCGAAACAAGAAGCCGGATGGTGCAGGACGATTTATTTCGGAAATCTTGGAATGGAATCATCAAAAGTTAGAAGACACCCATGACTACATACAATGGCTGTTCCCTCTACCAGAAGAGTCAATGGTTTCCAAAGCACCTCTAGTCAATGCAACTACTTTCTCCATGTTCCATTGTTATCCTGATTTACGGTCCAGACTTAAGGATTCTTTCGTCAAAATGTTGGACTTCTACGGATTCAATATCGCTGATGATGTGAACGAGAACAACGAGAACAGCACACCCATTGTATGTTTCATAGTTAATCTAATAAACACACTGGATTGCGAACGTCGTCTAACATTTCCCAAAAGATAATCAAATCTCCCAATTTCGATGTTAGATGCAAGAACTGGCTCGTCATGACTGACCATAACCACCTACGAATCAGCCGAATCCTTCGCTCTCTCCGCATTCTGGGCCTGGAGGCGGAAGCTGCTGCATTCCATGATGCACTATCAGACATTATCTACTCTAACCGTAGGCAAATCGTGAGCTCTCGATCTGTGGAATTCTGGCGACGCGCTGCCCAGCGACCTCTACATTGGGCACCGCATTTGTCTGAAGATGCATGCCTCGCAGACAACCAAGCAGACAAAAATTCGAAAGTAGGCCCAAATTACCTAAGAGATTATGAGGGTTACAAACTGGCTAGAGCAAAGCAGCAGCGGCACGACAAAAAAAAGGCTCTCGAGGAACAGAAGGAAGCGGAATTCCAAGCCACGAAAGCTCATATCGCTGCACTCAATGCCGAGCGAAAGATAGAGGTCGGCGAGCCTAGTCCACAACCACGAATCAGTTATTCTCGGATGAACACCGATCTCATATCTGTGTTTCACCTTGACAACAAGGAATCTGCGGTTGCTGATGTACGCGAATTCTCGCCTGATATGGGAGGGGGTCTTCGAAGAAGTTAAAGCGATCTATGATGAACCCGAGCTTGACCAAAATGAAGTCGAAACTTGTTGAATAAAAGGCCTCGGAAAATGGTAGACAATCTTTTAATTACTAACTTCAGCGGTACCAGCTACTTACCCCTCGCCAATTTCAGTCGGCATAATTTTTCATTTTCATTCCATTTACACGAGGACGGTGTGTTCGTCTAGGGAATACTGAGACATTGGGTAATTTATGGGACTCCGGCGGCTTTGATATTCTGGCGATATGGGATCAGGGTACCAAAAATATTCAAGGCATCTGGGAGGTATGGATTGGAGTAACCGGAGGTTGCATTTAGGACTGGACGGACTATACCCAATTTCTCTTCATGGGCTTTAGAAGGGAACCAACCTAATGATTTCATAACAGCATGGGCATAGCGGGTAAAGATAGATAGACAATCGGCAAGAGACTCCCTTCATTGACGTCAAGAGCAATTCTAGAAACAGTCAATGTCATCTTGATTTCATAATTTCTACTTGTGTGAAAGAATAACAATACAGTACATTGATAATCATGGATGTGAATACATTGATAACCACGAATGTATGTACTCGAGTATACAGTACTGTAGTCTCAAACCATTGACACCGGACCATACATATCTTTTCAATTCCCGAAATACATTAGAACAATAAATAACACATCCATCTCAAAACCTCAGATGTACCTATATGTATATGTACCCTTGAAATTTCATTTTAAACCCCGTGTTGAACAATCAGTTGTAGTCTAACTTCTACTTCTGCTTCTACTTCTATACCGAGACGAGTACTTAGATAGTTTAGCAAGATAGTATGCTAAACTATTAAACTCCCCTCCCAATCCCCCTCCCCAAACCCAGGAATCCTTCAACTGTCACAATCACCACACCCCAAACTATACAATCTCAATCTCAATCTCAACCTCAACCTCAATCTCAATCTCAATCTCAATCTCAATCTCAATCTCAATCTCAATCTCAATCTCAATCTCAATCTCAATCTTTATCCCCCCCCCAAAAAACAATCCTCAAAACAAAAACAACTCTTAAGGTTCATACGGAGATTTAGCCCTCGAACCAGTCATCACTACCCCTCCATTCACCGTCACCAACACAGCATCTTCGATTCTCACGCCGAACCCAACGGGTTTGCTGAGTTTTTGGGCTTGTGTCGTGGTTATGTAGATTCCCTTTTGTGGTTATGTTATGTTAGGTAAGTTTGTTGGTTGGTTTTCAAGTTTTTAGATGGGGGGGGTTTTGATTTCTTTTGAAGAGATGGTTTGGGAACGAGGGGGGATGGAGAGGGGGGAATGGGGGATGGGAGACTGGGATAGATGAATAGGGAGAGAATGGATGGAAAC